AAAAAAGAACAACAAATTCACATTTTTGTGATCTGAATAATACATACTAACTCTAAAACAAGCTTGCCATCTCCTGTAAAATATATTTGAAAAATAAAAAGACAGATGACATAAATATAGTTATTACGACTAGTTGGAATTGTCTTTATTGTGGTGTTTACTTCGTAAGAAACATAAACGGTGTCATGTGTCGTTCCTGTGTCAGTAAATGTGTCTCATCTCTGACAAAAGGAGAATGCACGGAATGTCAGAGGCTCTACTTTGACCTACAAACTACAAAACATGGACAGAAATAGACAAATAAGATGAAAACGAAACATCTCAGCACATGGGAACTGCAGCAGGTGTATCATGAGGTGTATGCTAATCCATGATGCTAATGCGAAAACCCAGAGGTAAAAGTTAGCGTTAGCAAACATGCTAATTTGTCTAAAGTTTGGATTAAAAAAACTTTAGCTTTTTGAAAAATAATGTGTGTTTAAACATATCATATTAATGTCTTACATGTCAATCGTTATTCCTGGTCGTTTGGCAACTTTTCGTTTTGAATAGAGAAATAGCAGTACTTTGACGTTATTTGTGCGCTACTTACCACATTTGCTGCGGCAGAGTGCACCAATCCGCTCACACAATGGTTATTCACAAAGAAAATAGAGAAAGTATAAGGAAAGTTTGTGGCGTGAGAGAAATAAAAATGATGCCTCGGGAGAAACAAGTGCACAAAAGTGGGAAAATGGAGCAGAAAGGGGCGGAAAAGTGGGAGTTTAAAATGAAACGCTTTCGGCTCCAGGGACTCGGACGGACCTCCTCCTGTGAGAGGCGCATTCCACTCTGTTCACAGATAACCAAATGCTCCATAAGATAAACTACACTGACATCTACAGCTGAGCTCAGGAACTGGGCAGGTGTGGAATCAAACTATAATAGAATAATATATATCTGTGAGTGTGCCAGCCATGTCTCCCTTAAATTGGATACAGTTTTGGTGATGGGGTCCCATTTGGTGACTGGGGTATATTGTTCTATTAAACATGATGTACTTATGTTTAATACATGAGGCAGAGGGAATAAACACTTGCTCTATTGCTGATAGTTATTGCTCACGGCTTTGAAAATATTTTGAAAATTGACTTTAACCATTAATAATCAAAATGATTACAAACAAAATCTTGCCACATCATTTTGGTTGATTAACAGAACTTTTGAACAATATTCTAATTTCGTGAGTTTCATCCGTTTGTGCTTTAAAGTTCACATTCCCGGGCAGATAATAATGTAATTGTGTCAAATTTGGGACAGTTCTTTCCCCTTCTCATTGTTGCTGTGGCGGTTGCATGAGGCCATATATTGTAAATAATCATATTTTCTATTTTCAAACATCAGTGAGCTGCACTGGCGGGATCTCAAATGTGAAGTTAATGCGTGGCAGCCAAGGAATTGACAAGGAACTGGAGCCGGTTTACCACCGAAGATGGTGAAGCGACTAGAACTCCCAGAACTGCCAATTTGACTGCACACATTCTGGAATGATGAGAAATTACCCCAAAGAATGTTTATTTTTTTAACCAGACTGATTTTTTTTTTGACCTTTATGAAAAAAATACATAGAACGAAACTACATAAAGAAACAGACAAAGTCACCAAGTTATGAAGACCAAGAATGTACATGAGATGAGTATTTACACTTTCAAAACTAAAAGCCGTCAAATTGACTGCTCTGGGAGTTCCAGTGTTGAAGAGGAAATGCACGTTGTTGAGAATTGAGGGAAGAAGACTTCGCATTAGGGTCAGTTTCTGTTGTTTTCTTTTTTTAAATGATGATGACATGTTCTTTTGACAATAAATGGCTTCAAACAACCACAAATAAGGAGTAATAAACATGTTTTTGCGTCATCATTTATACTCTCAAAAAAGTTATGTCCGAGTGTGTAAAATTTCCACCACAACTGTATCTTTTTAAAAATATTCTTTGTACATTTTGAATCAAAAAAATACATAAATATTAAAATCTACTTTAACAGTGACATGAGGGAAAACAACCGATTATTAAACAGTTTGTATAGAGAATAAAACAGAAAATAATAATTAAGTTTTATAGTTTAATGCAAAGTTAGCCGCAGAAGCGTAATGAATTTCACATTGTGCAGTAAGTTTATATTCGACATAACTAAAAGTATAATGTGTTCAGTGAATAAAGATTTAATAAAGAATGACTCATTGGCACACTTTGCTAGAATGTTTGAATGGCGAAACACAAAATTACCAAAATAGTGAGAGAAATTGATGTTGTCAAGAAGATGATGTCCACAGCGTTTAAACGTCATATATGTTATAGTTATAGGACTTGGTTAAATGTGATAACAAAATTACACATAATATATAAAAATCCCCTGGTGGTTGCTGTCTGTAACCAGTAAAAGTTCACCGTATCTGTTTTCATGTTTTAATGTTTGCTTAAAGGGAAATAAAAACACTGCATTACTATATTACCACTGTACTTTTGTGCTAGCTAATGATTTGGGTTAATAACGCACACCTTGGCTTTCTGCTTACAGGTGGACATATTTGTATCCATGATCAATCCCATAACACAAAGTAGATAGGGCTTCGAGCTGAGTCTGAATAAGAAGGAAAGAAGAAACATGACCTACTGTACTTAAAGCTGGAGTAGCTAACTTTGAAACCAAACAGAAATTAACTGTAAAGTAACTATATTCATGTAATTATTTACTGGCTCTCAAAATGTATTTATACTTTCACTTAGACTATCACATCTTTGGATCAGCTTTATCAGTGAAAAAGAGTGCCATGCAGTATAACACAATGTGTTTTAATCTGTGAAGTGCTTTGTGATCCTGGTCTGTGAAAGGCGCTATACAAATAAACTTTACTTACTTACTTAACACAATCTAAGTATTTTCTTTTAAACAATATATCGAACACAGTCCCCCTCATGGAATAACTACCACCAATAATATTTGGTGGAGGAGAATAGTTGGACCAAGAGCAAGCGGCCTTGTCTGTGTATCGAGGATTAAAATGAATCCTGTCCAATCAAAATGTCACTCAAACAAGATTATTTCTGTTAGAAAGAATAACATGCATTTAGTAAATTTAAATAAAGTTAGGTACCCCAGCTTTGATATCAATAATATAGGTCACTGGACATTGCAGACAAGTTAAGTAAAACAATACAAGAGGCCCACTGATGACTGCTGTCGTTGTGTCCTTGGGCAAGACACTTAACCCCACTTTGCCCAAAGCCCCCACTGAAAGATCAAGGCTATGCTCACACTCAGAGAGCAGCCGTCCTCCTGTGGACTCACCACCTGCAGAGGGTCAGTGAGGGGCTGGTGCTATGAGACTTGGGTGGCATCTCTGACTGCCACCCCCCTGACCCAGAAATGGATTAAAGGGTAGAAAATGGATGGATGGATGGATGGAATACAAGAGGCTTGTCATGAATGCACCTTGCTGCATTATTTACAGCACTATTTATTTGATCTTGATAATGGTGGCAGAGATCTTAAGCCGAAGACACGCCGAAGACAGCTCCCGAGCGTCACAAGCAGAAAGGAACAGTTGCTGTTGATCGTGAGTCCAGAAATTTGCTAAATTATGATTATGATTTTCTGCATTAAAGAAACAACAACAAAAAGATAAGAGACTAACAAGTAAAAACATATTTTCCATGACTGTATGAGCGGAAATACCTCAAGAATGACAACATATCAGCTATGTACAAAAAAACAACAATAATACATTTATATATTTATATACATTTAACTTCTAGACCCACTAAAATATACCAAAGAAGCAGCTATTGGTCAATCTGACGAACTCGTTTTTGCCACGGTTTAAATATCCTTCAGCTGTAAGTGTGAAAAAAAAAAAACTGAAAGAAAGCTGTAAATAAATTATTAAAAACCCGAAAATAACCGCAAAATATTCATAGATCTTGTGTGTATTTTCCTGTTGTGCCTTTGTGGAATACTGCAAAGTTTATAAAGGAGGTAAGCCACTTCAACCAGCTTCTCCAGTGGATGCAAGTTTGTTCAAACGACAAAATCTCGAGTCATTTTCTCCGTGTCCAAGAGTCTGTTCAGTTCCTTTTCCGTAGCATAGACTTCAGAACAGTTCTATGACGAGGGCTGTAGACCATGGGCAAAAGAGAAGGGCACTTTGATATCACAAAAATCTCCAAAAAGGTAGTGACAAACAGTGGGGGTTAGCAGCAGCCTTCTTGTCGAGAGTTCATTTCACAGTTGAATCGTTTTTTTTCTCCTCACGGTCTGAAACTTGGCATCATATGTATAATATATAAACTACAATCATGAATGAGAAAGTCAAGAGTCTCTCTGGTTTTAAATACCAAAAAATAAGTGTCCAAAGGCATACGATAAGGATCACACTGCAAAAAATGACTCGTAAGTATGTTAACGACAGCTTGAACTAAGGATTATCTTAATTTGGGCAGTAGTCTGAGCAGAGTTCACACTTCCTCCAGCTCATCCGGGGGAATCCTTTCAAAGTGGAGAAGCAGCGGCTCTACTCTGAGCTCCTCCCGTGTGACTGGGAACCCCAGCTACTCTGTAGAGGACACTCATTTTAACCGTTTGTCTCCTCAATTCTGCAGTCATTATAGATATTATCTGAATCATACATGTTCCAAAATGTTTAAGTTTATAAAAGAGTCAAAAACAATTAATTGATTGCTAGATTAGTTGACAACTATCTCAATGAATTGATTAGTTGCAATTAACTTGTACAGCCCTATTTTAAAACGTCAAACTATGCTCAAATCTCGATCATTCCTACTTACTTTAAGCCTCATCGTTTTTTGCAGTGTGCTGTGCTGTAGTGTTTGGTTTGTGGCATCTGTTGTAATTAGGAGAAAAATAAAGTCCTGAGAAATGCACTGGGTGGCGCTGTTCAGAGTGTGATACAGGTCTATAATATAAAAAGAAAATATATTTAATCTATTATTCGGGAGGGTTTTGTTAGGACGGGGTGGAGCGGGGCAAAGCCAGTATCCGTCCGTTGCTTTTGCCCCCGTTCATGTGCGTGAAGGGTATGTGGTGGTCCTCGTAGCTGCCCAAAAGGCCTACGGACACCGACTCGTCTCTGTCCAAACTCTCATCCTCCCGTTGTGAATAGGAGGAGGGGTCCAGGGGGATGCTCTCCATGTTTTCCATGTCCAGATCGAAGTCCTCGCTTTCGGGCGGCTTGTTCTCCTCGCTGTAGAAGAAGGACACGTCTTGGAAAGTGGGATGCAGGTCTTCCCGCAGCTGTTGGATGATGTCTTGGAACATGGGCCGCATTTTGGGGTTGTAGTTCCAGCACGTCTGCATCAGAATATGCCTGAGAGGACAGGGCGGAAAAACACTCAGTTGAGAATATACCTATGATCAGTTATGTTCTGTTTGTGATAAATGCCCAGTAAAAACAGTCTCTCAGTTAAGCCCCGTTTCCACCTACTCTACTCTACTCTACTCAGCCCTATTCTACTCTACTCTACTCTACTCTACTCAGCCCTAATTTACTCTACTCAGTCCTACTTTACTCTGCCCTACTCTACTCTACTCTACTCAGCCCTACTTTACGCTACTCTACTCAGTTCTACTCTACTCAACTCAGCCCTACTTTACGCTACTCTACTCTACTCAGCCCTACTCTACTCAACTCTAGTAAGTAAGTAAAGTAATCTTTATTTATATACCGCCTTTCACAGACCAGAGTCACAAAGCGGTTTACAATTGTTATTATTTTGGGGCACTTGTCCTCTCACTCCACACAGAGATGGGGTCGCCGAACAGGAGGCGCATGCCAGACCTATTGTACATATTTTTAGTGGTAGGGGAAACCGGAGCACCCAGAGGAAACCTACGCAGACACGGGGAGAACATGCAAACTCCAATCAGCCCTACTTTACGCTACTCTACTCAGCCCTACTTTACTCTACTCAACTCTACTCAGCCCTGCTCTATTCAACTTTATTCAACCCTACTCTACTCTACTCAGCTCTACTCAGCCCTACTCTACTCAACTCTACTCAGCCCTATTCTACTCAACTCTACTCAGCCCTATTCTACTCAACTCTACTCAGCCCTATTCTACTCAACTCTACTCAGCCCTGCTCTACTCAACTCTCAACTCTAATCAGCCCTACTCTACTCTACTCTATTCAGCCCTACTCTACTCTACACTATTCTACTACCTTTTTAGTACCCGTTAGGCCTTTGTTCTAACCAGACCAAGTTGGTACTAAAGTGTTCTAACTTGTGATGCCAGAATGCTGTCATGATTACCATGGATACTGCTTTGCTGTGGGTAGGTTACTGAGGTTACTGAGGTAGACTAGAGTACAGCAAAGTATGGCTGTGTGTGTGTGTGTGTGCGTGTGCGTGTGTGTTTGATTGATGGTGGTCGATGGCACATAATGGTTGCATCGCTTGTGTCAGTGTGCCCCAGGTCAGCTGTGGCAACAGTAGCAGCTTATCCCCACTGTGTATGGAGTGAATGAATAATGACCTATGAAGCATGTTTGAGTGTCCAAAATGTAATATAGGGTGTACAAAACTGATGCATCATAATCATTACTAACATTAAATACAGCAAAGACCTAATCCTAATGTTACATATACTAAAGCATCAACAATTTCATTCAATAAACAATACAAAATAAAATTTGAAGTCAATATAGTCTAAGTTTTTCTAATACACTCACAGTCTGTCTGCGCAGTTGTCGGGTCGGTCCAGGTATCCTCCATCCATCACAAACTTCAGCACTTGTTCGTTGGACAGGCCCTGGTACGGCTGCTCCGCCAGAGTGCTGATCTCCCACAGTACCACCCCGAACGACCTGAGGAACAACACCAGTGCAGTATGAGGTTCAATATTCATTTTTGAAAACAACAGGATGTAATTTTCTCAAAAATCACTTGATTCTGTGGAAATGAATAGTCAATCTCTTATTAGTTAATAATGAGTAGGAGTCTGGTTTGTGGAGATGCAAAGAGTGCTGGCTTAAATTAATCGAAGCAACGCTTGAATGCGGTTATATAGAAAATACTAAAATTTTCACAGCCGTAATATATATGTACATGTTCCTTAGATGTTGAGGCTCAGAGTCCAGTCCTACCTTTCAGTTATATTTCATTATGTCATTTTAGTCAAAAGATAAAAGTCAAAACAAACAAATCAATTTGTTTCCTTATTGACAAGTACTTCAGTGTGATTCTGGATTACCTGAAGGCACCAGATGGACAGTGTTGTGAACTTGGTGGGCGGTCAAAAAATACATAGTGACTTTAATACTATAAACTGCTACAATCATAGGTACAGTTGAGAGGATTTGAAATGTTTGGTGGTTCTTTTTCTTTCATCAAAAACCAATTGGAATAGCTTCAGTCTTATAGTTATAGTCGTATAAAAATAGAGACAAAAACATGAACATTTTGAAAAACATGAACATCAATTCAATCTCAAAATCAATGTGGATGGAACAGAGCACTGACCAGCAGTCTGAGTGCGCAGTGAAGACCCCGTCCTTCAGAGACTCGGGGGCCATCCATCGGACCGGGAGCAAGCCTTTTCCTCCTTTTCTGTAGTAGTCCGTCTCATAGATGTCTCTGGTCATGCCAAAATCTGGAGGAAAATGGCAGCGTTTCAAATAATCCTTTCAAAGTTTCTAAACATTGTGACGTTTTTCTTGTGGGTGGGGCTTAACTGGTAACAGAAACTGTCCAATAAACTGAAATAATGTCAGAATGTGCAATATGGAACCACATGTGTCACTGAGACTTTACTCAGCTGTGTAATAATAACTACTACTACTAACCAGACCCTCATACTGCTAACATGTACAGATGTATACATACAACTAAATATTACTTGCACTTTGTACTTAAGTCTTGCTTCTTCATAATGCTAAAGGTGGAGATTTTAGACTTTTTCCCTTATTATGCTAAAGATATAGATTTTATACTGCTTCGGTTTATGCTAGAGATAGAGACTTTGTTTTGTTTTTTGTATATTGTTATTATTTATTTAACTTGTACTCAGCAAGAGACCACTTATTTATGTTTTTACCGTCTGAGAAAATGTTTTGGGGTCCTGCTGATAAGTGAATGCAGCTTCTTGGGAGTTCCCGTTTCATATCATAATAAAAATCATATGGATTAGTAAAGTGTATCAACTTTTATGTATGTTTAGAGAATAAAAATAATTTAATTGAGAGATATAAAGTGCTCTGCTCACATGTGTTTTGTAAATAATCACGGTTTGAGGAAGATGAGAGAAAGTGGATGATAAACTTGGACCCCAGCAAATAGTTTCAATTTTAGACATTTTTCTTTTAATGATAAATTATTTTAGTACAGTGAAACAAGCCCTTTGAGCAAGACTCCTCACTAGACCCATTTGAGGATTTGTGCGTACTGGTTATGTCCACTAGATGGTGCTACAGTATAACCACAAAGCAGCATTTCTACTCACCTCCTATTTTGCACGTGAGGTCATGGCCGACCATGCAGTTGCGCGCTGCCAGGTCTCTGTGCACAAACTTCTTGGCGTTGAGATAAGCCATTCCATCAGCGATCTCGGCAGCCATCTGAACCATCTCCTTCAGCGTGGGAGGAGGGCGCCCCGGGTTGTTCTGAGGGAAAGAGTGGAAAACTGTAAAACACATGTAAAAATCTATACATCTAACCTTTCTAGTGAGGAGCTAATTTAGTTCACCAGGGGCCAACAACATGAAATGTAAAACTGTTTTGTCTGTCTCAGGTTGTTCTGAACTGTAAAATGAGTTATGAGATCGGAGCTGAAGTTGGCTGAAGTGTTTACTATCTCACCAGCTACATTTGCGCGATACGTGTAAAGTTCTGTGCTTTACAACAAGCTAGCTCTAGCATGCCTGTATTGGTAGAGCTGAAGTTGGCTGGATGACACTGAACTTTTTTGTTAATGATCTCAAAGACTACCTTATTCTAGCAAGGCAGAGGGCCACTTAATGTGACACTGAGGACCACAATTTGTCCTTTAGTTTGGACATCCTAAAATAACCAGCTCTACCCATCATCTTCCGCATTAAGGCAAACACTATGGTGAACTCAGCCCTTGGTCAGTCCACTTCTGCTATGGCTCAAACTCATTCAAACTCACTTGCACTCAAACTATATATATGTATATTCACTCGTTTTAATCTACTGTGATTATTTATGATATTTATGCCATGTCTATCATGTTTGGTTAAGTACTTTGAGGTTCCTTATGTATCGTATAAAAATAAAATTGCTTTGCCTTGCCTTGCCTTGTAGATTCCAACACCATATTTGGAGTGATTCAATTGTTATAGCGACTCAGTGACTGTGGAAGCCCTTTATAAACCACCATTGAACTTCTGAAAACACAGAAAACTCCAAAGTGTTCTGTACCTCTGCGTCCGGCCGGAGAGAGCGCAGGTAACTCTTGAGGTCTCCGTGTGTCATCAGCTCCATGACGACAAGAGAGGGCTGACCCTTGGAGACCACGCCGAGCAAACGGACCTACACAGAGTCACAAGATGAGAGAGACGAGCGATGAGGCAACTGGGAGAAACTGGTGTGGAGGCAGAAACTCCTATTGAGAAATTATAGTTTGCACAGAAAAAGCATTGCGACGCTCAAATGACTGCATATGTCTTTAGGCTCAGTGTTGACAGGACGAAAGATGAGTGTCATACCAAAGCGGTTACGGAATCAAAGGATGACAGGCCGCATTATAAGTGGTGCGTAAAAACGTCTTGTCCCAGTTACCTGAACACGTGTTGGAACATATAGATTTCATCTGTACAGTATGTCTACGTCTTATAGTATTACTATAGTACTTCAAATAATAGTATTGTATCACTTGGGGTTTTGTAATTGAATTTTTGTAATACAATTTAAAAGGGGGGTTTAGGCCAGATCTTTTCTTCAGCAACATAAAAAATATGTAAAAAAGCATGCTGTCTGGAGAACATATTATCTTTTGCATACTTGTAAGAAAGATCCCTGAGAGTCACTATTTGAAGCTTTGAGCTAAGGTTGGCTGTGTGATGGGGAAAGAGACTTGAATCGTAGACATAGTTCCATTGGTGTCGTTTGAAAGTTACATAACACAGCTTTCAATGCTAATAATGAATTTTGGTCCATATTCACTTGAAAACAAAAAAAATTAAAAATAAAAACCCCCAATGACAACACAGTGTATTTTTAACCCTTCTTACCACGTGGTGACAGCTGAAAGCCTTCATGACTGAGGCCTCGTTGAGGAACTCGATCCTCTCGCGCAGACTAGCCGATTCGTTGACGGTTTTCACAGCAACGCGTGTTTCCGATTCGCCTTTGATGATGTCTTTGGCAATTCCCTCGTACACCATCCCGAACGAGCCCTGACCCAACTCTCGCAAAATGTTTATCTTGTCCCGGGCCACCTCCCACTCATCCTCCTCATACACTGTAATAGTAACAGCAATACAGTAATTGGTTAAAAGAGAAAAATTATGCATTATTGTTAGCATTAAACATTATAATGATCCTTATCACATTACCATTTCAGGTTTAAGAATGTAACATAGTAGAAAAGTAATTCGGCACAGGTATGAAGGGTATACATCGCTTCCCTATCCCTATGCTACCCCCAGAAGGAGGCCAACAATTGTTTGTTTTTTTCTTTACAAATTTGAACATTTGTAAGAGAGCTGAAGAAATTGTTCAAAATTTGCAGAAAACTGCTTTGTGTGCAATTTCATAGTGGTAGATTACATCATGCTATCCTAGGATAGAGAGGGGGGGCGGAGTTAAATATTTGTGCCAGAAGTTCCCAATATTTGGGTGGATTTGGATAATATATCCACTCAACATTAGTTCAAGCATGATTAAAATGAGTTATTTTAGTAAGGAAGCTTATATTACAATAAAAGTGGTACATGATGCTAAACATTTGTGCATGAAACTGCATGTATACTGTATAGAGGCAATCACAATTGTTTTAATGAACAGTTTCTTGATCATGTTTCTGTGATTCAGTTCTTCGTGGGCAACCATTTCCATGACAATGACTTCCAACACAATGATTGCTTTTAATATTGCCGCTCCCATTATTCAGTATTTGTATCAATTGAAGTGAAAATTTGTTTGTCAATTTGTCACTTGTTTGTCACTTGGTTGAGTGGATACTAACTTAACAGTGTTCGTTTGTACTTTGGAAGTAATTTCTCGTCAATTGTTGGTTTGAAATATTATGTTTAAAGTGACGTTGATGTATATTGGTAAAAAGTAGTCAAAGTTTGTTATTTTTGGATAAAGTAATGAATGGGGCGTTCACTGCTTGTTATGGTGGTTAGATTCTATACAATGCACTACCTGTACGATTTTTCTTCATTTATAACAGGGGTTCCAAAACCTTATGGTAATAAGTCCACTCTAAGGCCCCGTTTACACGGAGACGCTGCAGAGACTCTGCAAAGCAATTAGCAAAATGACCAGGCTCTTTATTCGTAAATGGCTCGCGGGCCTTAGTTTGGACATGCCTGCTTTACAGGTTTAAATAATATTGTTAGATAGTCTTACTGTCAGCCGCGCTCAGGTATTCAGGGTTGGAGGAAGCATAGATCGGACCACTGGGACCTTGAGTTTGACTGGAAAAAAAGAATCAAAATGAACCCTGTTTAAAATCAGGATGATCGAAATCGAATGCCACGATTGGATTGGATTGTGTAGGTTTTGAGACATCGAGACATATAATACAAGTCTTTCGATTATTCTAAAAATAATACTCACTTTTTCCGGAACACCACAAATCCACCAATGACCAAAATGAGCAAAAAGGCCAAGCAAATGACTGGAGCAACAGCAATTTTCACAATACTCATTGGATCTGAAAGAAAAAAAATATAGTACTGGTAAATAATGGAAAAATGTTACTCAAGACCCTAATATTTTGAATGAATTCCTAGAATGCCGTTGTTTCAGTTTGACACACTTTTAGTTAAAGATATGGTACCTAAGTTTATGTGTTTATGTGTCTTTCCCCAACAGAAAGTCTTCAAAATAACAAATCAGACCACATCATGCTGTTTTTAGCTAATAAGGAAACTCAAATCCTTTGCATAATTGTAAGAAAGAACCCTGGGAGTCACTATTTGACACTTTGGGCTGAATGCTGAGTGAGTATGGTCTTCTCCTTTTTCGGTCTGAAAAAGTTGATCTAAAAATGTGATAGAACTAGTGTTTCCAGCACAAGGAACTAATTACATGGTTTTTATTACATTTCTGTGTTTTGAAAGTTACGTACCCAAGCTTTAATTCATTCATCTGTCTGGAAACCTAAAAGAACTGCCACCTATCATCATCTTAACAATGTCAACTAAAGACTTCAGCTCGTCTTGTTTGTGCAGCACAGAGCATTTAAAGAGAAGATTTGACCAGCATTTCCTATTTTTGTGATTTTAGCTAATTGACATTTAATAATAGGAAAGGAAAAGGAACAGAAAACAAACTGGACGATCCAAACAGGATACGCATCTTAGATCTGTTTAACAAAAGATTAACTATACACATTTTGTCCTTTATGCTTTTTTTAGCTTAGTAAAACGGTATCATGAAGTGTCAATTAAAGCTAAATACTTTATACTTTATTAATCTCCAGTGATGGGAATAACGGCGTTACTAGTAACGCCGTTACTTTTTTCAGTAACGAGTAATCTAACTAATTACTTTGACTGTAACTATAACGCCGTTATCATTTCCGACATCCCGTTACTGCGCGTTACTCAAGACGCACAATTAACTTCTCTTTTTGGCCAAAAACTGTTTTTTCCATTTGAGAAACATTGCCAAGTTGAGGCTAATTTTATCCAAATCTGATCTAGAATTGGTGATTCATGCTTTTATCTCGTCTCGTTTAGATTATTGTAACTCCCTTTTTACTTGTTTTAACAAATCTGCTTTGAATCGTCTTCAAATGGTTCAAAATGCTGCTGCGCGGCTTTTAACAGGCTCTAGCAGACGGTCACACATTACTCCTATTTTATCCTCTCTGCACTGGCTTCCCATCAAATTTCGAATTGATTTCAAAATTTTTAGTATTGACTTTTAGAGCGCTGAATGGTCAGGCTCCCAAATACGTGTCTGACCTGCTGTGCCCTTACTCCTCCGGTCGCAACATTAGGTCTTTGGGTCAGAACCTCCTTGCTGTCCCAAGGACCCACTTTAAAACCAGAGGTGACCTGTCCTTTGAAGTTGTTGCTCCTAAACTGTGGAATGCCCTTCCTCTGTCGCTACGTGTGACCGACACTGTCGATTCCTTTAAAAAACAGCTGAAGACATGGCTGTTTGGACGAGCTTTTAGTTGAAAAGGCTGTGATTGTTTTAATTAATTTGTTTTAAGATTGCTCTGTAACTTTTATTGTTGTGCCCCTGTGAAGCACTTTGTGATTTTATCTGTGAAAGGTGCTATATAAATAAAGTTTCTTCTTCTTCTTCTTCTTCTCTTTTTACTTCGTGATAGGACTCGTGCGCGTGTTGTCATGAGAGAAGGGAGGATGAGAAAACCTCTCAGCAATTATTGGCTGATGTAAAACATATTTCCTTTACAATCTGCATGTCTACAGTTGAGAGGATGGTCATAAATTGTGTTTTTGAAACAAATATGGGTCTTAGTCGCGCTCAACCACAGCTTGTATCACCGTGAGGCCTCAGAGTAGCGCATGTGAGCGCAGAAGTCGGCTGCATACAATTCCATCTGAAAGCTCCTTTCTCTTCCTGGTTTATCTGCTAAGGGCTGCAACAAGTTTGGCTAACATACATATAACACATTTTAAGATAATTTAAAATGCACTTACGGTAATTTTTCAATTACTATAGGAATGATAAGAAAGAGAGGTGAAGTGTAAGACGGTTGATTTTAGAAATTGGATGCAGCCGGCTGCAGCAAAACACAGGAGTTTATGGAGGACACACGCGTTTTGTTTTACTTTTTAAAACTCATTTCCAAATGGAGGATTACATATCTACGCTCAAACTATTATCTGGACTTAAACACAGAACTGGTCTGAACTGAAGTGGTCTGTGCAGGTCATTTATAAGGTAAGACCCATAACTCATAGTTTTGCGTTTTGTATGAACAAACAATGCGGCCATGAAACATATTTTGCTGTAGCCAAACAAACTGTCCACTTGATTTCTATGATATATATGTTCATCTGATTGGTCTGAAGTCAGTGCTTCACCGGTGTTTCCACATTCACAGTGGCGGGTCTTGGTGTTTAGTGCTTACAGCACAGAGAGAGATGAAGAGTGAACAGGACTTCAGCAGCAAAACAGACTTTTCTAGATGGAAATATTGGCAATATTTCAGACTCACTGAGGTTAAAGGTAAAACTGCGCACGTCGAGTGCACATTATGTTCCAGAACAGAACGAAAAAGTAACGCAATAGTTACTTTTACTGGTAACTAGTTACTTTTATAGTGGAGTAACTCCGTTAGTAACTCAGTTACTTTTTGGGAGAAGTAACTAGTAACTATAACTAATTACTTTTTCAAAGTAACGTGCCCAACACTGTTAATCTCACACAGGAGAAATGTACACTTGCCAATGAGGATGTATGGTCTTGCCCTGAACTGAATGAGGTTACTGGAAGTTACAGGCAGATTACGCATCATTTTTGGCTAAGACAAATAATAACAAGAATTTTATAACACAAAATTATATTTGAAGTAACAATGATGAAGAATGTAACCACTATTAAGGGAATAAAAAGATTTCCTACACCTCCCTCCATGCTACCACCAGAGAGAGGTGTGGATTTGCATTTTTGAATGGAAAATGACTGGCTGCAAACATAGCTGGTAAAGAAATTGACAAAACTAATTCAAGGGCAATACTTTAGTTATAAAAGAAAGAAAACCGGTACAAAATCACACTATGACAATATGGTGAAAGGCCCAAAAGGTCATTTTTCATTGGATTGTCTGAATAAAATATATGGAAAAGATACAGTAAGTCTTGAATTACAGTTTGAGAAGAGGAAAATAAATACCACATTATGCAAAACCAAATTACCCCTCTGAATATGACAAGAATGGAATAATCCGCTAATAATCCACTAAGATCGGTATATCTTCCCTGTGCGTCAGTAAACTCTGCATACGTCCATTAATGACCACATATGAACATACTCAATTCCACATGCATCCTGACCTGAGTCCGGGATGTAAAAGTAGGTGGGTTCAGTCCAGGATCCGTTCCCAGCCAATGAAGTGGCTCTGATCCGCACTGTGTAGTTCCCAGAATGCATCACTCTAAGCTTGGCGCCTTGAGTCTGCCTGTACATGTTTCGGGACACACAGGTGTGAAGTTCCTGGGAACACAAAACAAACAAAAGAAAAGTAAAAAATTATTCACTTATAATCTAGATTATTTTAAGTACGATATGGTTTTCTGGTAAGTAAAGATGAGACATTAGCCAAGCCACCACTCAGATTACATTTTGGATGTGTGGGAGAGTGCAGAGAAACGTATATGAGATGTACTTAATGCTCCACTGTGTAACCTTCCAGTCAAAAACAAGATTACAGCGGTGCTTCACTTATTGCGGGACTTAGGTTCTAAAAATAATCTGCAGAAGTGAAATACAAAGTAGCAGCTTTATGTTATATAAAGCTTTTAAACCCCTAACCACACTTTAAATTAAGATTAAGAGATCCTTTCCCTCAGTGAGGAAATTTCAGTGTTGCATCACAAGTTACAGTATAGAACAGTAGGAAAGAGGAGCACACAGTACACGTTACCTGAACAATAGCTGCCCTAATTAAAATAAAACAAAATCTCTAACTCTAGTATCAATAATAAGTATAAAAAACTATCTTGAAAATAATAATAGATGTAAAAATTAAAACATTATATACAAAGTATAAAGTACTGTGTATTCTAGTGCAAGTAAAGTGTGGTTACATGTTAGCATCTGTACATTTATACACTTTTCAAACACCTGAACTCATGTCTAAAGAGATCAAACATGTTGGTTGTAGGTCTGAGCGCTGCTGCAGCTGTCAAAAGCCATGCATACACTGTAAAATACACCATGCTGAGGGGCAACGGACTGCTGACCTCTGAACTAATCACTGTGGTGCACACAAGCCATAAAAGTTTAAATACAGTCAACTGTCATGTTATACTCACTGTTATATTAATGTTACATGATGCTGTTGGAGTAGACACACGACATAAGAGAAGCACGCTGTAAACAGGCATGCAAACCCGCTGAACCCCAATATACAACTGATTTCATATCCATTAATGTCTTTTGTTTAAAAGAATCATTGAAGTCTTTGTAATTACATAACTATGGAAAAATAAATATTTTTTCCCATATCTGTGACCATGAAATGTTACAATAATAACTAAACATCTCCTCTTGTTTACGCAGTACATGTAGGATTAAGAGGGAAAAGCTAATTCTCTGCTGTATTGTTTTCACTCCAGTCACTTGTGGCTATTAACATTATATGGGAACAGAAAATACATGTTTAATTGCTTTAAAAATGCTGCAGTAGACCGACCGTTCTTCAATGTTAGCAGTGAGAAAATATTCACAAAATGAGTCAAGATCATTTAATTTTTATTTTTGCATTTTTTGTTTGGACGCTATTTAAAATCTATTGTAGGTGGGGTGTCCCATGTACAAACGTGAATTCTAATGTATACTGTAGGCATATGTTATGTTTAACAGTATATTTAATTACTCATTAGGATGCAGCTTTAGACAGTGGTCCAAGGAGGTGAGGGTCTTACCTCGCTGTCACCCAGTCGTTTGTAGTTGACCTCGTACAACATAATAATTCCGTTGGGATCACTCGGTTCTTTCCAAGAAACGTGCACAGAGGTCTCTGCCACCTCACACTTGATGGGGGGCAGGATATCGTCAGCTTTGTCTGAGGAAACATAGATCAGAGTTTGGAGATGTACAAACAAATGGACCATTTTCCTTTTATCCGACATAAACTTACACAAATGCAAAAATGACCTACGCACAAGAAATAAGCAACTTGCTTCTTGTTTACTCTGTGGTTGTGGCATTATCACCTATCTAACAAACTAATTTTGGCTGGAAAAAAACCATTAAAAAAATCAGACGCCCAAGATTCAGCAATGTCACGAAACATGACCTGCGATATAGGAAGGGCCTACTGCATTTGTTTTTCCCACTGTGCATGTTTTTATTGCACCTTGAGTGTGCTTGCATCGCCACAAACCTGGCTAGTTATACAAAGAAAAATTGTACACTTCCTGGTCAACAATTTAGAGAAAAGAGAAGAGGCATAATTTTGAACATCTCAAATCCATCCTTAACTGTTTAAGTCTTTGGTTGAACATAAATACACTGATTTGACATACCTACATAATTAGGACAATAGTAATAAAGGAGGACAATATGGTTGATAAGAAAGCTCTCACACCTTCAGGCAGTGTGCGCGCGCTCACGTAAGCCGCCATGCTGCAGCGCGTCTGGTCGGTGGGGTGGTTGCAGGCGTGGATCTCGATCTGGTAGCTGGTGAAGTGTCGCAGGTTGGTGATGACCGCAGACTCTTTGTTGTGGACCTTGACCACAGTGCGGGTGCTCTCAAAGTCCTCCTCACCCTCGTCCACGGTCCTCGGCGTCGTGGAGGGAGCCGTAGTGAGGAACGGTTGTGTGTGATTTGCAATGCCCGCCACAGCACGCCGCTTTCTGCTGTGTTTGCTACAGATAAAAGATTACAATCCATTAGAAGAAAAGATCTTTATGTCTAGGACTCTGAATATCAAAATTATTACAAAAGTGATTAAAAAGTTTATGAACAAATAATAACTAATTTGGTTTCCGTTCCATTTTAGAGGAATTAATGCATGTTGATATTTTTTCATAACATGAAGACGACTTTGACCCCAAGTCGTCTTTTAGGAAGTAGGTAAAATGACAACGGAGATTAATCTGTCTGGAAACCTTAAAGATCTAATATATATGTTCTGAGAGATAATCTTACAGCTCTTTAGGTTTTGTCTAAGCTAGCGTTAGGCCTGTGAGAGGTGATGTGAATAACACACACATGCTGACACACAAACAAGAGTGAATAAAGTATAACCACCATAACCATTTATATTACCAGTAATCACATGTACTAACAATAGTATTAATCAGAAAGTATCTCCATAAAGTGTTCTTATATGATCAGTAAGTGTCTGCATAAAAGGCCTTTGTTTTCTGTGTTAGTGAGGTCAGTAAGAATTCAAGGACAGGCTGGTCTCTGTGCAAAAGTAACCTTTGCAGGAACGGTGTATGCTTTGCATGAGACACAAAATCCAGACCAGGCCAGACTTTGGGACTGAGGTGATAAGGAGCCCAGATGACGTCTTCGAGGGACGACTCCTCATCTTCAGCACATTTATAAAACTGTTTTAACTAGAAATTGTAGACTAGTCTGGACAAGGGACCTGCAGTGTAAAGTCAGAGCGCCTGACTTTACACTCGTAAATAGATTTGAGAAGGAGAGCTAACTTTAAGTCCAGACCGATGTTTAGACTCTTTGTATCAAGGAATAAACTTTTTTGGATTTAACTTTTCGAATACTGCTCATCTTTATATGGGATTTTGAACACGTCATTTTTTACAATAGGTGAAGGCTTTTATCGCTTTGGTTTGTTAACAACTTTGGTTGTTTCATTCCTGGACTTTGCTGTGTGTTTTTATGTTTGTTTATTTCTGAAAGGAAATTAGGATTATATCACAGTCTATCCTGACAAAATTCAAAATTTTCCATTTCACAAATCTAGAATATATGTGATTTGTGATGTTTACTTGTGTGTGTCTTGTGCCTTACTTGATCTCAAAGACCTCATTGTGGAGGTAGTCCTCAAATATTTTCTGGTACAATGACTCCTCCTTCTCCTTCTTCAGCTCTTTCTCTGTTTTGGGGCAGAGGCAGCACTGTTTGTCAGAGCCGTGCTCCTCTGTCTGGTTTCCTTTCTGCTCCTCGTTGGCGTCCACCTGAGTCGTCGCTCGGGTCGGCAGCTTCATCCCTGAGAAAACAGCCACAAAACTTTTGTTATACATTAAAGTGATAGTCTGTAACTCTAAATGAATTACACATTTTAGGAAATGTGTTAAATTGACTTCTTGGCCTTAAATGTTGATATAAAATAAGTCATTTTATTAATTCTAATATCACAGGTAAGTCCAGCCTTCCCTTCTCGTAGCTATAGCTCAGAATCCACGATGCCGTCGAGGTTAACCAATCGAGTCATGCCAAGGGCTGTCAATCATCGCGCTGATGCTCGTAGCTGTGCGCATGCTCAGTTGTTTGTTTTCGCGGAGCCTCCAAATCAAGCCTTTATTAGGCTCTGGAACTACATGAAAACTGAACAAAGAATTCTGAACATCTGCGCTGCGGTACTTATGTATATACTGAACCTATATCCATAATCTTGTGCATAAAAACATTATTTTGTTCATTAAAACGTTAAAAAATAATTCTGAACCTCCGTGCATGTGTATTAATAATGTATATGTACAGTATAATGTGTTCTCTGATTAACATTTAAAAGTGTTGCGGAAACGTAGGCGTAGACCAATCAGAAAGGAAGGGGGAGGGAGCTTGCGTCGTTTTTTTCAAATCAAGTACCTCTCTGTCTCTCTTTCTGCAAACTCCAGACAATCACATTAATTGCTCTTTAGCTATAGTTCATTTGAGTTAAAAAAAAACAAAAACAAAAACAGTTGCAATTAATGAGCAAAATATTCCATTTAAAATATAAGTAAAAACTTTGAGTTCCAAGAACTGAGAACCACATATCGCTGGTGATACATAATATGTAATATTGTGATAAAAATGACAATACCATGGAAAGTTTGTGCTAATGTGTTCCAATTTAGATAGCCTTTTGTAATTAGAAAACTCGCCCCGGATTCTGAACAATTTAAGACTCTCAGAATGCACGAGAAACTTTAGATTAGAGCAAATGATTAAGCATGAACAAATTCTGTCATAATCTTAAGAAACCATTGAGTGTCAAAAGCAATTGCAAAAGCTTGAATGGGAGAAGAGTGCAAGAAACTTAGAAAAAAGCAAACCAGAAGAGGTAACTCTAAATAATATTACAAAGGGCATACAAGCGGCATACACATTTCATACATTTACTAGTTTGAACCATGCAAAAATCTCAGTTCAATCTCAATCGCAAGCAGCTCAAGCACCTTTTTTCAGTTGCATAAATACATTGTTTGTCAACAGAAAGTCTTGTTTAACCCTTGTATTATGTTGAAAAAAAATTACATTGATTATGTTGCGGGTCATTTTGACCCGTACTGTGTAAATGCACTCAAAACAGTCAAGAAAACAGGTTAAACCAATAACAACTTTATTTTAGGTTATATAAATATTTAGAAAAGTGACATACAATACATTTTTTATTCCAACGATATATTTAAGAAATATTTAGTCTAATCTTCTTGTCCTCCTCTCGGGTCAAAATGACAATTCTTCCCTCCCTCTTTCCTCCTGCCATGCTTTCTCCTTCCTTTTTCTCATCCTGTTTTCCTTCTCTCTGTTCATCCTTCTCTATTCCCTTCTTTTCTTTTCCTTCCTTCCTTCCTTTCTCCCTTCTTTCCTTCCTACCTTCCTTCCTTCCTCCCTTCCTCTTTACTTGGCCAAAGATGCGTCCTCTGAATCCTCCTTATCGTAAGAAAATTGACAATCTGGATCAGCAATAACATTGTCCTGTATCTGAAAAATCCTCTGTTTCTGAAATCTCTTCCTCTACATCATTATCCCAGTTAAAAATCTGTGATAAAGCCTCCTCAGATGTCATCCTTCTGGAGCTCATTTTTGGTGAGTTTGTCTAAAGCCTAGCATTGCCTAACTAGTTGCAAGACTGCTTTTGGCAACAGAGAGTAGAGGATGGGAGATGATCAGTTGCCAAAATCGGTTGATGTGAGCGCTCTTACAACTAGAGATAAACAGTCGATCTCCGGATTCAGTCAGTTGCCCGTGTTCTACTTTTCTGCAACTAGTTGTCCTCAGATCCGGAGATATCACCCGATGTGCACGCTCCGTGGCGCGCTCCAACAACGTGTGTATTGCGTGTATTGCGCCCTCTACAGTTTATGTCAGAAAACACACTGTAGTTGAGGCCAGTTGCTGTCGATGTACGCGCTGTTATTCCCGAGACTGGTCTGCTACTGGGAGTTTCCCGTTTTCGCCAGATTGTCGATGTGTACGGGGCAGCAACTCAAAGGCGACGGATATATTCAGTTGCCAGTACGATGTACACTAGGCAAAAGAGATGACATGAGAACAGTGACAAGGACAAGTGTGAGAAAGTTCCCTCTCTTCACACACCTGGCTCTCAGAGGCAATCAAAATAAAATGTCAAAGAGACATATTTTTTTGGATCTGAACAACTATTTACCCACATTAAAGCGTCAGGGTCATAATGACCCGCAACATCATCTTTGTATACAAACTCTGCACAGACATTCCACTACACATCAAGGTGTCCATATTTTACACACCAGTTCATGACCCTAGATGAGGAAAAGTCACCAAATTTCAGGAAGAAAAAGAAAGGATAACCAGTACTTTGATCAACACAAAAACTGAAATGGGTCAAATTGACCCTTAACATAATACAAGGGTTAAGTAAAATTTTATGAACATATGAGACCTCATGTTGTCTTTTATTGTATTTTTAGCCTGTTTTCAAGTAAGTTAAACTGTTTTGAGAGCTCGGAACTAGTTACATGGATTTTACTCCAGTTATTTTGTTGTGGTGTCAACATTAGCTAGCCTACTCTAGCTTTAGGAATGCTGCAGCCTGTCTGTATCCTGATTTATTCGTTTGCCTGAAGTCATCAATACAATACTGCAGTTTATTAAGAAGATAAATCTATTCTCCTCACTACCGCAGATGTTTTGTCTGTCACTGCCACTCCGCTCTTCTATGCTATATTAAAACTAAGCATTAATTTAACAAGACAGTTACTCCCCACAGACTGTGTTCTCTCAGTCGGGGGTTTGTTAAAAGTCTGGCCTCTACAAGGCGCTGCTCGAAGGTAGCACCCGCAGGAATAATTCAGAACAAGAGACGTGTTTGAACTCTGTGTGAACCAGAGCTCAAATGGACTATAGGGAATTTAACATGCATTTAAAACACGCAACTGTCATAGACTCAAGTATGTAGTTGCAGCGCAAGACGTATGAAGAGGAGGAACGTGATTGTGTTGTTGCATTGATATGGTTTTAGTGGATTCTTGGTTGGAGAATTTATCGTCCCCAAAGGAATGTCAACACTTGTGAAGGCGCATGTCAGAAGAACTACTAGAGTAATGGGTTCATGGTAAGGAGAATCTTTAACAAGAGGCCTAATGCATGGCGCAGAAAAAATTAGCAGTTTAGCACTTTAATGCTTTCAGGAGTAGCGTTTAAAAGCTGGAGATTTGAATCTGCTTTAATTCATTAACGGCAGTGCGCAGAGGAGTACACAGAACTATTTGTTTGTATATAAAAGGTATGTGCTCAGAATCCTGTAATAACATCACATAAAGGCAGTGACGATTTTTTCTTTAGCTGCAGCGAACATTAAGTTGGGACCTATGTCTTCGGTCGGATCTGACGCCTCCTTTAAAGGCGGAGAACCAAACTTATTATTTTTATTTTTTATCCTATTTTTGTTGTTTCATTAATGATGCATGTAGTCTGTGCCAACAGCTATAGAGTTGTGAAAGTAAAAGAATAAACAAGTCAATATTTGACATTTTGGGGCAGAGGCTAGTCAAAAAATCTGTCAACAAATTACGATCATTGCGAGTAAACAGTGCTTCAAAACACCTCGTCCTAAAATCATGCTGTGTCCAAAGCAGTCATCAGTCTTTGTTTTGCTCCATCAGCTGTATTCAAGTGCGGCCTATAAGTGGACCAAAAAGGATCAAAAAGGACTTTTTTTTTCAAATGTAAGTGGTGTGGTTTGTATATAGGTGTACTTAATAGTAAAGCTACTGTGCATAATTAATTTGTAGTTTTAAAGTTGGATACTCCAGCTTTAACTCTACAGCAGCAGCAGCAGCAGCAGCAGCAGCAGCAGCAACAACAGTTTCCTTCGACCTCACTCATATAACTTAAAGGTGTGTCTCCATCTCAGCCCACGCGTTACAGGAACACCAACAGTTCAAGGTTCAAAAGTATCACTAACATCTCAATTTGTCATTCTCTTATCTGGATAAGGGTATTAGTGGATCATGTGAGACAGGCGTGACACCGCTGAATCAAAACAAATCTGACCTGGATATACTGTACTAGTGCTAAACATGAAACTCCAGGGAAACATGTTTGTGGCTATTATTCGGAGTACAAGTAGAGGGACTGGGTAATCTCGCTTCTATATAGTATATCTGTATATATGTTTATTTTAGGAATCCATTATTTGAGCATTATTATTTGTGACGACGGGTCCTGGTCAAGTTTAGATCAACCAAGTATTATTGGCTGAATGTAAACGCAGCTAAGCAGCTAATAACCTTAAACACCTTCCATTGACTTATGTCCTTATTGACTTTCATACAGCGACATGAAACTTTTTTTATTTATTTTTTCGATGTTCCTTGTCAATGCAGGAGGGTCCGAGGACAGTGATGATCGGGACATTTAGGGACATTTAATAACTTTTATGAACATTGGTCATCCTGCTCTCTAGGAACCAATGTCATTACTGCATTTCCTGTGTTCCAACTGTTTGATTCTCTGATCTGTTGTTGGCAAATCTACAACTTTATAAAATCATCCAAGACAACGCCGTTGTGATTTAGGGCTATACACAAATAGACGAAGGTGAGTCCTATTTGATCATATACATTTTGGGCTTTAATTAAATATACGTTTAAATGTAATGTACGTTTAAATGTAAATGTAAAGTGTAGTATTTAAAATTTGCCACTCATCACTTATGCATATAGTACATTTCTCCACTGTCAGATCAATAGTTTTATCTTATCTTACATAAGTGAATACATTTATCTCCCCTTCAAATCACCACCAGAAGGTTTAGGTGGTAGTTTCTCAAAAAGGCCATTTGAATTGATCATTCTAACATTTGAAGAGATTGTATTAAAATAGTTTCTGCGTCGCTTTTATGACAATAATGGTCAGGTCTGTACGTTCAAATAAAGAAACCTGAAATAGAAACACATACAAAGTAAACAGACTGCACCTTTCTGGCAGTAGTCGAACTTGTAAAGCTCGCTGGCCTCGGCCTGGCGCTGGCAGTACACCAGGTAGTGAGTGATGTTGCCATTCGGGTCGTTGGGAGGTTTCCACGTCAGGATGATCTGAGACGAAGACTTGGCTGAAGTCAACGGGTCCAGAGGCACCGAGGGCTCTGCGGACCACAACAGCAAGAGAATTTATCAGCATTTGCTTTGACAAGAAATAAGCCTAATTTCACCATGATTCTGATCAAAAAAAAAAGATTGAAACTAAAGTTGGAACTCCATATTACTGGCAGAGAAAGGACATTACTTGGTGGTTTTAGATGCTGAATTAAGTTCTGATGTTCTTCTATATGAGATAAATGTAAGATAGCAATGTTATTATGGATGAATGCCATTGAAACATGTCATGGGAAAACTGTTGCTGTCTTATATTTGTCTGGTAAAGAAGAACCAGATAACTTAATCCACTAAAAAGACAAGACAAACCTTTAAATTCTCTTGATCTAACTGACATTTATCAACACTGATGGACATTGGTCAACTCCCCCCTTTTGGACCAATACCTATGTGTTCTCTATTCTTTGTGTTTGAACTCTTTGATTAAATGGTTTTGTTAAGTCCTCTGAGATAATTACTGTTGGGATTTAGGGCTATACAAGAATAAATGTACTTGAATTCAGAAGTAATTTGTGCCACCTGGCTTTCCACATGTGACAGACTCTTCTATGAGACCTACGAAGCTAAGCAGGGCAGGGCCTGGTTAGTACTGTGATGGAGGACCGATGGCTGTAGCTGTAAAGTGCTAAACTGGTTGCGTCCTTGCTGTCAGTTAGGTGCGTTAATAACGCCATTGACTTAAAGCTATTTAATTTTTTATTGAACAATTAATTCAAGTAGTTATTGAAGGTTGAAGGTTGAAATGTTGGCATTATTATAAACCACCCAGCAAATCATTTGTTGGACCAATTACTCTATTTCTATTACAGAGATATGAAAAGGTCAGGTGTATTGCTTTATATTGCTTTTTTTAAATGTAAAACTAAAACAAAAGTGTAAATAATTTGGCCCGCCTTATTTATGATGAGCATATTTTTGACTCACAGAACACACTGAAAGCATTCTGCCTGCACCATTCGACTGCAGGAACTCCTTTTTTCTATCTTTTAAAGATTGACCGCATGAATGTGGCCTACACTTAGTTTGTAATGAAAGGAAAAATTGCCCAGACGTCATAACAATCTTTCTAGAATATAATCTTTTGGTCATTATTCAAGATGTGACACTAAAACCCATTCAGTTGTTTTGTCATCTGAGCACAATACAACAAACTCAGTTTGATTTCCATCTCCTGCTCGTAACTTGCCTGCTCATGTTTAAATCAGTGCCAGGAGACAGATAAGGTCTTTGGCACTTGTCCTGAGCGTGTGGCGTCTTTACTATCAACACAACAATCCGGTTTTACAGGTAGTATCACTATAAACACTCTCTATGTACAATACATCCAACAACAGAGATGGTTTTCTGCCAAAATTCAGTTTGACAAGAATGATGGATCAGTCGGTTTGATTGAGCAATGATTGATTTTGGTATGAATGAGATGACTACACCTGTCATCCACACAATCACCATGGCTGTGTTTCGTTCTCTAATGAGCTCTGATTTACTGACAATTCCATTTCCTCAGATACTATGTAGACATTGTAATTTGCATGTTAAAGTTGAATCCAATCAGACTTGAAGCTAAGCAGGGCCGTGCCTGATTAGTGCTCTAATGAGAGACCTCTGGAAACACCAGTGGGCCGTCTGCGGCTTAGGCAAGACCAGTGGGGGCGGGTCCCAGGCTCAAAAGTGCTTGCAATACCACCCCGGGCCGATGGGGGTAGACCCGGAAAAAGAATTAGCCAATGCTAACATATAGCATTGGCAGACCTCTCGAAAACGTCTTTACAGGATGGACCAAAAGTTGGCCCTTGGCCCAAAGCTCCGTTCCACATGTGTGTCAATGCTGAGAGGAGTGAATTTTTTTGGACCACTCTAGTTTACTTGCTGTGAATTTTTGAAGGGACTCGTTTAAATGAATGGAGCTTGCGCAGATGCGTTTTTTCACAATTTTCTTGTGGGCGGGACCACTCGCGGCCATTTTGGATAGCTCCAGTAGAGCAATTTTTTTGGCCCATTAGTTTGAACGGCAGAGATAGGCGTGACTACGTCCATTAATATATACAGTCTATGGGTCAGTGTGCCCAAAGGCAGTTGTGGCTATAGTAGTTTATCCCCACTGAGTATGGAGTGACATGGGAAGCATCTGTGAGTATCCAAAAAGCACTATATAAAACAGATAGCATTAGTTAATAATTAATCAATTATTAAGGGGTGAACATGTCACGTTAAGACAAACACGATGAATAAAAATGAACACTTCAACATCTCCAAATAAATTAGGTAACTCAATCAACAATATGCATGCAACATATTTTCTATGTGTACGACATTATCATAATAATAGAATTTTAAAGCTTATATCATTTCTGAATTTAAGAGGCTACTCCATCTCTACTGCTGTGACCTGACGGGCTGTTGCTGATTATTACTATTGTTAACTTTTTAGAAGCATCATTTTAATTTTCTTTTTTTGCTGCTACTGGACACTTGAATTTCTCCTACAGGGATCAATAAATTATCTATCTATCTATTATAGAGCTGGGGTCGCGACTCAGTTCAACCTGTATCTTAAATCTTAAGCCTAGCGTACATTGGACTGGCAACTGATTATATCCGTCGCATATGAGTTGCTGCCCCGCACACATCGACAATCTGACGAAAACGGGCAACTCCTGTAGCAGACGCAATACACACACGTTGTCGGAGCGGCGCATGGAGCGCGCACATCGGGTCATATCTCCGAAACTGAGGACAACTAGTTGCCAAAAAGTAGAACACGGGCAACTGACTGAAACTGGAGACCGACTGTTTATCTCCAGTTGTAAGAGCGCGCACATCGACTGATTTCGGCAACTGATCATCTCCATCATCTACTCTCAGTCGCCAAAAGCCGCCTTGCAACTAGTTGTCCCCAGTTTCTTTGTTGATGTACGCTAGGCTTTAGTGAGCCCCTGTTGTAGCATATCAAACATAATTTAGCAGCACACTGTCCCATTGAGGCGGTATAAAGACAATGTGATGATTTCTTGTCTCCACAAACAACAGTAAACGTGCAGAGGGGGAGATGTTGACAGTTTAGCCGCTCTCACGCATTATCTAGGTCATTATCTATTTCCTCATTACATGACGCAGCCTAACACCCGCTCAACCACATTGTCAGACTCTCAGAGACATATACGGCACGAGCGACTGAGCCATTACGAGGCAGACGGAGACACTGGGTTTGAGCTGGTTTTGTGTCGTGAGCGATTTGATGCAAGAAGGAAATGTGTGTTGAGTAAAAAGGAAGAATGTTGGACATGACTTTGGAATGCCCAAGAACCTCAACAAGGTTGTGTGAAGGTGGAACAAAAACAATAGTTTTAGAATTCTGACAATGACCTGAGATCTGGCATTGTGACAAAGGGATGTTAAAAAAAAGACTAACTAACTAACTCAAAGACTAAAAGATATTTTTTTAAATACATTTGCAAATATTTAGTTTTTTTGAGATACTAATATTATATCAATATTATTTTTTTATATTTAGAGACTAACACGTAAGTAAGAAGAGAGAAGTATGAGAAATAAATTATAGATGAACAATTCTGACCCTCAAGCTCAACGAAGCCCATCATCTCGCTCAGGCTTCTATTGGCTTACAGTGAAAATTAAAATCCTCTAGCTCGGTAACCTTTTGTGTCACACTCACTATTGTGTATGTCAAAAATCCTTGGTTTAGTGCTCTCTGAGATCTTGGTGTTTAAATTGTGATATTGTCTTTGTAAATCCAGATATGTACCCTCACAAGCAACAAATCAGAAACCTTCCAAGGCCAAATTTGGCTTTAGCTTACAAGTGAGCAGGGACAGACCAGTGCCTCTTCTGATGGGCACTTGGTAACTCGGCTGTTGCTACCAACAAAATGTGCGTAAATATGGCTCCACATTCTCGTTCAAATAGCCTGTTTGGGTTAGCTCTAATCGGCCTCTTCTGCGTCAAGGCACACTTTATGGGTGATGTCAGCACTTCTACAATATAATATATAATCTCTGATTGAGGTATGCATCACATCGACAGGCTCTGAAAGATTCCCAGCCTGTGGTTTGAGAACCAAGGAAATGAACCGAATCATGATGATTTTTTTCACTGTATGCTGCTCCATATGAAGCATCCTGAGGAAAGCGTATGTGTCTGATGAGATTTGAGAATGCCTTAAGCCAAACAAGGGTTTAGTTTTCCTCAGCTTGTTATTTAAATAATAAAATAGTGCTGTGATTAAAAAAAAAACAGTTTAAGTAGAAGGAGAACAATAGAAATGTGTGTATATAATTGAATGCACCAGTATAATGAGAAAAATGACATTTGATCACATTAAACATCTATTGAGTTTTATTCTCTTCAAAACCGGTTGGTTTGTATGTACTAACAGAGAAGAAGTTGAATTATGTGACTCAAAGGGCCGGGTGAGGCTGCAGGTTTTAGTTAGTTCCAACAAGCAGGAGCACACCGGCCCTTTGAGCACCTGTTTGACACCCCTGCCCATAGCTACAAAGATCAATTTTTCAGCTGCACTCCACCACAATTTTAAACTAAAGACTCTTTAGAATGTTGCAATATGAATGCATAAACAAAAAATGCAACCTGTGGTAGAGCATCAGGCAGACTTACTGGTGGCGTCTGTGCGGACATAGATGATGTCGCTCTTGGCGCCTTGGTCATTGGTGGAAGACAGCTGTGTTTTGACCAAGATGGCGTACTGGGTCCAGGGCTTCAGAGGATGGATGAGTTGCCCAGGATCCAGCGGCTCCTTCTCCCCTTCTGTGGCCCGCCGTGGAGGCTCCACGTCTGCGATCATCCAACTGTTCGACCCACAGGCGTCCTGGCCGTCAAACTCAGTTACATTCTGAAAAGGACTGAAAGAATGGACAGAAGTTGAGAAAATAATTGGGTGTTTTTCAGCAATCCAAGATCATCCATCCCTTGCAAACATTGCTATTTATATTTTGTATAATTTTAGAATATACGTTATTCTAAAAAAAAAAAATAATTGAAGTCGCTGATATCACCTTAAAGAGCTTATGCAGGGTTTTGTATTGATTAGAAAAAAAGGTTTAATACAATTTTATAACTGAAAAGAACTGGTTTTAAAATCAATTGGTTTTTTTTTTTGGTCCGATCCCCCCAAAACGAGAAGAGATCATAGCAACTGCCTTAGAAACAAAAAAAAACAAACAAACGTGACGTCACTGGGGGAACCCGTGTGAACCGGAAGCACATGTCCTTCATACTTTCCCGCTTGATTACATTTTGTTCGACTATTTTTTCCAGCCACAGTGAGAACGGCCAACGAACTTCAACGAGTTTTGTTCACAATTATGTTACTAACACGGAGACTTTACCCCTGCCTCAATGTAAATGCTACAGCGAGCGGCGCGAGGACGGGCAGGACTGAGACCGCTGCTCTATCAGTGAAACACGTTTGAGTCACTATCAAAACAAATGTTTTCAATAAAAAAGGAGATTTTCTCCCGGAATCTATTTCTGATCGGCATGAATTGATTATCTGTCTTTCAATTTTGATATCCACAAATTATTGGACAAACCCTGCATAGGTCTTTACAACAGGAGTCCTTTAATAATTTCAGTTTTGAACATCATCAGTCTCTGAGCAATGCCTCAATAGGCAGGTTCTTTACGCTGCATCTCTATAGAAGCTATGCATGCTACCTGCAGCCTGCTCCAAGGTGAGTAAAAGGAATCAGTCACAAACAATTTATTTGATCCTAGAATGAAAATTAATTTGCCTGTTGCCTGCGAAGGAGTTTTATCATTCATTCAAATGAGGCAAATAAACACCAGGGTGACTTAATACACAATTATATCCAGCCAAGGAACATATTGATGAACTTAGAGCCACAGGTTTGCGGGCTCCAGTGTCCATTATACCCCAAAGGAAGCCAATAATCCAATAGGAAGTGAGTGACTGGAGATTAAACGGAATTCAGAGCAGATATTGTTTCGGTAAAGGCTGTCCCATAACTTCTCTAAAACACATGAGCAGAGACAAAAACTCATACTGATCCAGGCTTATGTAGCGGTTATCACTCTCCTGACTAACAGATGCTGACAGATTTCCCCTGGGGCTCTGAAGGATGGGTCAAATCCAGAGGACAAATCACCGAACAGAGACAATCAAGAGCTCCTACCTGGTGTGATCCTATTCTATCCCAGCCTTAGTTCTGATTTGAATGTTGTGTGTTCAAAGCTATCTCAGTGACAGATCTGCGTCACATTTATTGGATTAACAGATGTAATAATACAACGTAAATATGATTGAAGAGTATATGCATTTGACACTTCTTTGACAGTGAACTTACGCTTCTTTGTAGAGCACCATGAAACCGAGCAGGTCTCTGTAGTCTTTCGGCCAGAAAGCTTTCCACCTCACCATGATCTTGTCGCTCATGGTTCGGATACTGGTGAAGTTCAACACATGAGTTTCACCTAAAATAAAATAAAACTAAAATGTTTAACAATGTCATAAAGGAGGGAAATATGTGATTATATTTCAATAATTGAGATATGAACATTTATCTTTCAAAGTGAACCTTGAACCTAAACCAAGACAGGTTTAATAGAAACATTTCCACTAGGATATGGAAAAATTGATGGATTTCCACTAGGGGTATCCAAAAAACAGTATACATTTTTAGATATATATCAATTAAATAAAAAATAAAAAATATATATATATATTTGTTTTCTATATTCAATAAATGCATCAATAGTGTTGTATTTTTGTCATAATGGGGCATTAAAAAAGGACCAATAGTAGTAAGTAGTAGTAGTAATCTTTATTTATATACCGCCTTTTCACTGCACTGCAGATCTGAGTCTCAAAGCGGTTTACAATTGTTAATTATGGGCACTTGTCCTCTCACTCCACACAGAGATGGGAGCGGGGTCGCCAGTACAGGAGGCACATGCCAGAACTATTGGACATATTTTTAGTGGTAGGGGAAACCGGAGTACCCGGAGGAAACCTACGCAGACACGGGGAGAACATGCAAACTCCACTCAGAAAGGCCCTGGTCCGACCGATTATATTTGTTTCTAATGTATTGTATCCCCAAGTTCTGAAAGATTTCCTTTTCTTCTGAACATCATCATCAATATATGAGAATGTGATTTCTTTTCCGGCCCCTCGACACATTAATCATAATATGAAACACATTATATTAAAGGATGATTTAAAAACATCTCTCCCACGTAACCAACTAACAACACATGAATAGTTGTTCCTTACATGAAGCCTGCTCCCCGTTGGTCTTCTTGATGTCTTCCTTGTTCTGCATAGTGGCCCCTGTGACCTCCACCATCTTGTACATTTCAGACTCGCAGAGTTTGGAGTTGTACATAAAAACAATGTGCCCCTTTTGAATGGTGAGCTTGTGTTTGGACCAGTCCCACAGCTGCCGGAGGTTTTGGTTGCCCACAGCGTAGAATGAGAAGTTCCTAAAAATACATGAAACGAAGATTACGTATGTAACCACGGTTCAATAATTTCTATCTAAAATTATTTGATCTCTCCTGACTGCCAGAGCCTCTGGAGGTCTGGAGAGATCAAATAGAACTTACGTTAAAATAATTTTAGTTTTGGAAAGCCAAGAGAGGCTACACTTTGTAGAAGAAATACCTCTGGTGGTGGCATAGGGAGTTACAGGTGGAAAGGATTTTTTACTTTGTTTCACAATATTTGTAGATCAACTGTAGATATTTTAGCAATCAAATTGATAAACAAGTTCAATTGATTTAAATGATTGTTGTTAATAATGCATCGGTTTTATAAAGTGTTTAGGACACTCAAAGACGCTTCACATGTCATTAATCATTCACTCCATACACAGTGGTGATAAACTACTAATGTAGCCAGACAGAAGTAGACAGAAGCAAGGCGACCAGTATGTGTCATTAGCCCCTCCGATCACCACCAGCCATTCAAACACACACACACACACACCAGACCATAGACTGTAATTAACGGACGTAGTCACGCTGATCTCCACCACTAAAACTATTAACTAAATTATGCAAATTTAGCGTAATTTCGCCGAATTACGCTTAAATAGGTAAATTCAGCGTAATTTACGCTAAATTTCACAAATATTTAGCGTAAATTATAATTTTGGACATTTTTGAGGCGAGACCCGCACCCACTGCACCAGACTCATTCTAGGCAATGGGGGGGAAGTGTCTTGCCCAAGGACACAACGACAGCAAGCATCAGTGCGACTAGGTGGAGGAAGTCTTGTGGTGAGCTCAAACCCACAACCTTTAGGCCCAAAGGTCAATCCTCTACCAACTGAGCCACTGTAGCCCCAATTCATTGTCATTAAACCGCTTATTTCATGATAATAATTAATAGCTTGGAAGCAGTACTATTGTCTCATGAAAAAGTTAAAATATTATATCATCTTCAGTATTAAAACTTGCAGTGTTTGGTATCTCACCCATTGTACAACTCCTGTCCTCGGATCACATTCAGTTTTCTAAAGAAGAACAGGGACACCAGGGCGTAGGACCTCTGCACCGCCAGATACCCGGTGATCTCCTCTAGCTGCCCCAGACTTGCCTCCAGCTCCGCAGCGATGTTGTCTGTGGAATACAAACAAAAACAGGGTTCAACAACAAATGTAATTTGTAATTTAAGCTGTATCTGAATAAAGGAGAACACTTTCACTTACTTCCTCCTCTGAGTTTGATGACCAGGCTGCCGTTGAGGATGGTGCAGCCCCTCAGCTGCTGTGCCGCTGTCACCGAGTCGATGGTCTTCAGTCCCATACAGACCTTTGGACACAGGCCGGTGCATAGTGAACACACCAGTCTGGGACGAGACAACACATATTTAAAATCAATTCAATTCAATCTATTTTTGCATAGTTCTAAATCATAACAGTAGTCGTCTCTGGGGATTTCATAAAAATAGTGAATCGGTGAAAACAGATTGGAGACTCAAACTATTAGAAAACAGGAAACTCAAGAATAAAATACATACAGGTGAAATGTCCCTACTGCGATTCAGCTTAAGTGAAACAAATGTATGATAGACTCATTACACATAAAGTGAGATATACCAAGCCTTGATTTATTTGTTGATAATTTGCTCTTTGAGAAACCCCTATATTTTGAAAATGGCACTTAGTATGTAATGAGTCTATATCATGTATTAGTTTCACATTTAAAATCTAATTACAGAAATAAATTAACTTTTGTAATTTTCAGAGTCAAAATGTGTTCAATCCAAATGTGATGGCACTGCATTTGGTCTGTCTGTTGGGGAAACCTGTCATTTGCCGTTGGCCAAAGAAAATCTCTGAAACAAATACTTATTTTTATTTCTGTTTATCTGTGACATAGAAAGCTAGTTATGTATGTTACGAAACAGCGGAGAAGCTAAAGCATTATTTATAAATGGGAAAATTCCCAAGAGAGCAAGTAGAGTAAAATAAGGAGGTGGCGAAGGCCCAGCTGACAAAGATTATTTCAGTCGAAACAGTAGTGCCTGTATACAGCTTCTGATCCGACAACACCCCTCAGAGTGGGTTGGATCATCACTCCCCCACTAAAGTAAATCAATTGTAAATAATATAATAGCAATTTAGTTCATAGTTATGGTGAATTCATAATTAAATTCTCCAAAACTGAGAAGATACAGTGCCTTGCGAAAGTATTCGGCCCCCTTGAACCTTTCAACATTTTGCCACATTTCAGGCTTCAAACATCCATCCATCCATCCATTTTCTTCCCCTTAATCCATTTCTGGGTCGGGGGGGTGGCCAGAGATGCCACCCAGTACACAGAGCACCAGCCCCTCACTGATCCTCCTGCAGGTGGTGAGTCCACAGGAGCTGAGATCTGTCAGTGGGGGCTTCAGGCAAAGTGGGGTTAAGTGTCTTGCCCAAGGACACAACGACAGAAGTCATCAGTGGGAGTCGTGAAGTAGGTCTTACGGTGGGCTCGAACCCACGACCTTCAGGCTTCAAACATAAAGATATAAAATTTTAATTTTTTGTCATGAATCAACAACAAGTGGGACACAATCGTGAAGTGGAACGAAATTTATTGGATAATTTCAACTTTTTTAACAAATAAAAAACTGAAAAGTGCCCAACAATTGTAAACCGCTTTGAGACTCTGATCTGGAGTGAAAAGGCGGTATATAAATAAAGATTACTTACTTACTACTTACTTACTTATCTCAAACAAGGAGAAGACTGATCAGAGATGCAGCCAAGAGGCCCATGATCGCTCTGGATGAAGTGCAGATAACTACACCTGAGGTGGGAGAGTCTGTCCATAGGACAACAATCAGTCGTGCACTGCACAAATCTGGCCTTTATGGAAGAGTGGCCATTTCTCAAAGATATCCAATAAAAGTCTCTTAAAGTTTGCCACAAGCCACCTGGGAGACACACCAAACATGTGGAAGAAGGTGCTCTGGTCAGATGAAACCAAAATCAAACTTTTTGGCCACAATGCAAAACGATATGTTTAGCGTAAAAGCAACACAGCTCATCACCCTGAACACACCATCCCCACCTCAGCTGTAGTTATCTGCAGTTCATCCAGAGTGATCATGGGCCTCTTGGTTGCATCTCTGATCAGTCTTCTCCTTGTTTGAGATGAAAGTTTGGAGGGGCGGCCGGTCTTGGTAGATTTGCAGTGGTCTGATACTCCTTCCATTTTAATATAATTGCTTGCACAGTGCTCCTTGAGATGTTTAAAGCTTGGGAAATCTTTTTGTATCCAAATCCGGCTTTAAACTTCTCCACAGCAGTATCTCGGACCTGCCTGGTGTGTTCCTTTGTCTTCATGGTTCTCTCTGCGCTTTAAACAGAACCCTGAGACTATCAAAGAGCAGGTGCATTTATACGGAGACTTGATTACACACAGGTACATTCTATTTATCATCATCAGTCATTTAGGACAACATTGGATCATTCAAAGATCCTCACTGAACTTCTGGAGTGAGTTTGCTGCACTGAAAGTAAAGGGGCCGAATAATATTGAACGCCCCACTTTTCAGTTTTTTATTTGTTAAAAAAGTTTAAATTATCCAAAAAATGTCATTCCACTTCACGATTGTGTCCCACTTGTTGTTGATTCATGACATTTTTATATCTTTATGTTTGAAGCCTGAAATGTGGCAAAATGTTGAAAGGTTCAAGGGGGCCGAATACTTTCGCATGAAGAATGGACTCATTCTTCACTGTACATCTCTTTTTGAAGAATGAGTCCATGCATAATGTTTCACCTCATCAAATCTGATATAAAAGTCTCCTCTTGGCTTTTGTTTTCAACTGGGGTTTATAGTGTAAGCTATTATCATCTTCATCTTTGTCTGGATACATATACAGAGTTTCTTTACGCAAAAAGGTTTAAAAACTATCCCCCTGTTTTGTCTCCGTCTGAGTCGCACTGAAAAGCTGGAAAAACAAAAAAACAAATCATAGTTCCACCGCACACAATGTACCTGCATCTGAGGAGACACACAATACAATAACATAAAATACAGAATGTCCTCCTCTCTCTCTTATTGACCTTTTCAACACATGCACCATCTACCTGCTCATAACGCCAAGACATCACTCATATCCGCAAAGCACTTTCATTTCCACAGCTGAGGTCGCAGAGAGGAGAGGGCTTCGGAACACAGCCCATAAGACCCACATGAATCCAGGCTAAAAGAGTTACAATAGGGTCAAGTCTGGAACAAGGGCCAGACGCACCTGCAAATCCAATCTATGGCAAAAAATAATAGGAAGTGACCAGAGTTGTTCTTATTGAAAGGATTATCTTGGTCCAGCACCTTATTTGCCCTTTGCTTTTGGGAGCATACAAAATATTTGGTAGTAGCCACTGTGGCGGCACGGATGATTCCACCCCCAGACAGGGTCTTTCTGTGTGGAGTTTCTGTCATGTCATGCTAAATGACATGACATAAAGACTTTCCTTGTTTATTAACATGAAAGCCATTGTAAGTGATGTTTTGCCAATAATAGATTGTCTATTTGTGCATTTCCATCATGTCCTCTCTATACTACGCTCTTCACCTGACAGTCTTCCATCAGATCAGTGTCTCTTCAGTAACAGAAAACGTGACATGTTGAAGTGGCAGCTGTGTTTCTGTATCGCCCACAGATTTCACAGAGCATTTCGCCCGACAGCTTGTATTTACAGCACAATCACAGACAGACGTCGTGAGGAGGACGTCAGGTCACAAATCAGAGCAAAATGTACAATATATTGGTAATAAAGTAGTTAATAAAGTACTGGATCATGAGTACATGTTCTGGATCAAAATGCTCTACATTTACTTTTGCAGTCTTGTTTTACCCCATTTATCATATGGGTCGGAAATTTGGGGTAGTAATGATTCTCTACATCCCCTAGAAATTCTTCACATGGTTAGGTCTTTGGATCACACAAACATACTTTTTTTAAGGTCAAAATTGTTCAAGCTTTCTGACTTAGTTGTACTAGGACAACTCAAGTCCATGGTCGTCACAGTCCACAGTAGTCGTCTCTGAGGACTTTATTAAATTGTTCTATAAGAAGCGAGATGACAAATGTCCATAAATGTAGAAAATAAACAAAACAGTGGGGAAAAAGTGAGAAACCTCTGGCACACATTAGGAGAGGGATTTGCTTCCACGGACGGACAGGCTAGATCCAGGACTCACGCTGTAGAACGAGGGTCAGTGAGCGCCTGCTTGAGTGGCATTGGAGGAAAGATCAAATGCAGACTACAGTAACTCCCTACATGAACGATAAAGTAGACCATATATAGTAACTCACAGGGATCGACTTAAGATGCTGCTATTTAGATGATAGTTGCGATTCATTACTTAATTCCAATAAACCATTTGAAAAGGAGAAAATACCCCAACATATACCAGCTACTGTATAAACATGAGATTAAATGGGGAGGAATTTAGAAGTTAAAAAAACAATAATTTTACAAGTTTAATTTCTAAAATATCACATATATTTTAATCAAAGACTTGAATTGTGAAGATTCATATTCAATATGATCCATCCCCAGCCCCAAGTCTTTGTCTTGACTCTACTTTAACTCATATTCACAATAAAAGTAAAACATTGGTGACCAAGAACCCTCCGAACACTGGGAGAGCTGAAAGAACTTGCTTTGCAGCTGCTGCTGTGTAATAAGTGAGAAAAAACAAAAGCTGAAAGATGCTGAATCAAATCTGAAACTGAGTGGGCACAAAATGTCCCGCGATCGAGGTCTATCTGACATGCAAACAGAAACCCAACGAGAAGCTAGCATCCAGGAAATGACTGAGTGGAAAAAGGCAAATATATTATATAAATATCTTACTCAACAGAATCTTTTCTACGTTAAGCTGAACATGTTTAAAGTAATGCACACTTAGAAGGAGAGGTTCCACTGCTCTTGTGTTCCTGCTGCACTCAGACTGATAAAGGAATAGCCATTTTAGTCACTCTATGATGCTTTGGGCTGAGAGCTTTTCACCCTCTCTTTCACCTTCTTGTGAACAAGTTGTTCTATGTTTGAACAAGTGACCACACATTGAATATACAGTATATTTCCTCCATCCATTGACCCAAGGGTAAAGGCAGTCCATTTGAGTGACATTTGGTCGATCCTTCGATGCCACAATTATTTTCTCCTGGGGGCCAAAAAAGGATGAGGCCATGTTGATTTACACTATACCACAGTGTCCGTACTGTATTGAGCTGTATACATTTTGTGTGTATTTTTGTGAGCTGGTCATTAGAACAGATTCAGAAGTACGGACGTTTCCACTTGATGTTGTGGTTATCTGAAGGTGGGGAGCCTCGGTATTTTGACTCTGTAAAAAACATGTAAACTCCGTAAAAACTCTGGTCGTGTTGTTTATGTAAAACTTCTGCTAAAACAAGATCCCAAAACCCTGCTTGTTTTCATTTTCATCAGATGTCAAAATGAGCAATGAGAAAAAATCATTAAGTAATAAGTAAGTATTTTGATTGCTGTTATTTTTCAATCATGTTTTGGACAGTGGGGGAAACCTGGAGTGCCCGGAATAAACCCACCCAGGCACAGGAAGAAACTCCACACAGGAGCAGAGTTTGTGGCAGCAAAGTGTGGATTTAAAGAAAACCGAAGGATTTAAGAAGAAAAAAAGTTAAGGATGACAAGGGACACAAAAATCCCCACAAAATCCGATATTTCTGAAAGCTGTAGGTTCTCTGTCAGCTGAGGTCGAGCTGTTTTAGTTCACATTGAGTTCTATGGGACTTTTTTCTGGGTGGCCCACGTGAATTTAGTTTGCAGTACCACGGGCGCCCCCTGTGCCCATGGGTGGGACAGCTGTAAGCTAGTAATACCCTATCCAGTTATTATCATAGATCCATGGCAAAAGCCGAGAACAAACGTAAACAACAATGGCGGCGGGTATACTAACTAGCTACGTGTGCTTTGAACACAGAGGAGAATTGTACTTCTTCGTTCATCAAAACAAAACTACGCAAAGCTCTAGTTTCAGTTTCCATTTTCGCAGCTGCTGTTAAATGCAGAAAGATGTTAGTGCATCATTTCACATCTTGCAGAGGAAGTGAGTATAGTGCTGGGCGGGGCTGGGGTTCATGTGTGTCGTGTTGTTAAGTTCCTCTGCCCACTAGTGGCCGGGCGCTAGAACTAAATCGTTTTACATCATTGTATGAATGCTGTGAAATTTGCAAAAGGAGCTTGGTTGTTTCTGTTAATAGCTTGGCAACATCTGCGCAGCGCCTCTGTATAAACAGGGCCTGAGCAACTTGTCAGGTCAATCAGGCTGGCCACGCCTACCCACGCGTACTCAGAAAGTAGCATAAGCTGATAAATGACAAGTCACCGATGACAAGTGATGGTTCTGAAGTTAAAAAAGTAACACATCTAACTCGAAAGTAGCTCAGTTGGTAGAGCATTGGCTTTTGAGCCTGAAGGTTGTGGGTTCGAGCTCACGATAAGATCTACTTCACGACTCTCACTGATGACTGCTGTCGTAGTGGCAAGACACTTAACCCCACTTTGCCTGAAGCCCCCGCTGGTAGATCAAGGCTCCTGTGGACTCACCACCTGCAGGAGGATCAGTGAGGGGCTGGTGCTATGTGTGCTGGGTGCAGCTCTGACTGCCACCCCCCCGACCCAGAAATGAATTAAGGGGTAGAAAATGGATGGATGGATGGACACAACTAACTCTTCTTTCAAAAGAAACACACATAACAGAAGAGCCACGTTCCATAAACAGACGGTGAGACTTACGCAGAATTGTTGACGGTGTATCCGGAGGGACACTCGGGGATGCAGGCTCCGTTGTGGATGACGTACTCATAGCAGTCGTAGTCCTTGTTGCGCTCCTTCTCCCTCTTGCACTTGTGGTTGAGGTCCTGGCAGAAGGCGAAGGGCACGCACCTCCAGCCCAGGTACAGGTAGTGGTCTGGGGGACACTGGTCCACACATGTTTCCTGGTGCTGGAGGTTTTTGCAGGCCACACAGTGCGCTGAGGAGTGGGGTTGAGAGCAGCCGCCCAGACAATGCTCATGACAGCACTGGCCGTCTTTGGTGCACGCACGGTGCTTACAGTGAGAGGGGCACACTGGAAAACACAAGCAGAAAATCCATTAACACAAACTTCAGATTCAAGTTCATTTATTTGCACCTGCAAGTAAATGTGTGAGGGAGCTGTTCCCATAGAGTTCTATAGTTCTATAGATAAAGAAAGCAGACAGAGGACGTTTAAGTAAAGGGAAAAGCAACATGGTATAACCTTTGCTGTATAAAAAAAACTTATTTCCATGACGGCAAACAAACATAGTCCCTAAATTATTGCTATGTTGTATGAATTTCACATATTCATACTACATCACACTCCTTGATTATACTGGATTTATTGTCAGGCAACTGATAGAATGTACGGTAACCATCAAACTCTAGGAAACACTTTCTCTGAGAAGAGTTGTCCCCAATTCTAATTAAAGTAAATGAGTAAATGTGTTTGTGCTCAAAAAGGTTCTCAGGCAATTTTTTAAAATATATTTTAATGTTATTTCTACATTCTGGAGGGATTGGTTTCATAAGGAGTTAAGGAGGCAAGTTATTTCATAAGGACCAAACAGCATAACAACATTTATTATTATACAGTATCCCTAAAATTAAAGGGTCACGGTGGGAGATGTATCTACAAAAATCATCTCAAATATCAAAGAATAAACCATTTCTTATTTTCTTCAATAATTTGTGCATTGTCCCTAACTAGAAGCCTTCATTCTCCAAGTTGAAAAGTATTTTAATTTTCTACTCCATAAACCACCATTAAAGGTTTCTTTTTCATCACAAGGCAGCTTGCTAAGATTTAAACTCCACAAAAGTGTTTCCACTCCTTCAAACATTATTTACAAAAGCCGTGGCTCCCTGCTGAGAGCATAGACTTGGATCGAGACTTGGTAATATCTTTGAGACCTTGACACAGGAGTTTCGTCTCTGACACAAGTTCTGACCCCATAGGAACCGGAGCTATTAAGGACAAGGAGGAAAACAGCAGGGAACCTCCTCCAGCAACGACCTGGTAGAAACAGAAATGTGTCTGCAGCAAGTGTTTTCCGCCTGCTTTCTCCTACCAGCTTTTTAAAGAATAGATCATACAGTAACTAATACATCAAGAAATTGAGTCAAAGATAAGTGAGTTGTTTCCTAATCCTCTTAGACCATGGTCAAAAACACGCACTCATGACATGTAAGAAAACAAATAATTTTCATAAAAACTAATATTGATGAAGCCTTCAAACATCTTTTACTGGATTTGAATAAAGAATGGATAACCTTTTGTTTTGTATCATATTCTTTTTGGATTGCCAAAAATCACAAATCTTCAACAATAGTTTAGACAATCAAACTATTGGAAAAACAATAACACTGTATTGAACACAAGGGATGAACAAGGTTTGAACAAGGTTTCAAGGTAAAGAATGTTAAATGACCATACATTTTCTAGGCCTGTAGTCAACAATTCATTTGATAATCTAACATCTAATAGTTTGGCAATTATTCGTTCAATAAAATCACTGACGCCAAAACAAAAGTAAAGCCAAGCCACTCAAGAACATCTTCATAGAGACTTGATGAAACATAATTGCTTCAATTTGAAATACTTTGATGGAAATTCTATAGAAAGTGTGTTGATTTAAAACTTCCATTTCCATGTCTGTTTGAATGCTACGGGTCACTTTAGCGTCTCGCCCCTGGAGCCTTGTAAGCAATGACTGAAGTGTCTCCAACGACAACAGAGCAGAGACTGAAACACGACCCGCTCAAGAAATACAGGGAAAGGTGCAGAGACAAACAAGTGACTTTTACTTATACAGAAATAAATGATCACGTCAAGCATTTTAAACCTGGATTAGTTTACGTCTATATCAATGTTATGCATTATTTTTGGCCTTTCAATAAGTATAATGAGGCTATGTGAAATGATATTGTAAGAACAGACGGTGAAATAAGTATCCTGGATAATAAATGATTTCGGCCTGTAATTACAATACAATACAATACAATTTATTCTTGTATAGCCCTAGGTCACAACAGAAGTCATCTCAGAGGACTTAACAAAACCATTGAAATCACCAACACAGGTCAATTACCAGCAGCGGGAGTTGAATTTGTTTTGTTTTCTTTTACAAATTTGAAAATTACCTGCGACAAACACAGTCATGCAAATATAAAGAAAGTCATTGAAGCTTTCAGACAAATGGGGCAGAGTTACATGTTTGTGCCAGAAATTCCTGATTTTAGCGTAGACGGATCTAAAAACAACCACTTGAAATAATGACAGAGGTCTGTAATTTTCATCATAGATTAGGTACACTTCAACTGTGAGAGACAGAATGTGAAAAAAAAAATCCAGGAATTCACATTGTAGGATTTTTAAAGAATTTATTTGTAAATTATGGTGGAAAATAAGTATTTGGTCAATAACAAAAATTCAACTCAATACTTTGTAAAATAACCTTTGTTGGCACTAACAGAGGTCAAACGATTACTATAGGTCTTTACCAAGTTTGCACGCACAGTATCTGGTATTTTGGCCCATTCCTCCATGCAGATCTTCTCGAGAGCAGTGAACACGGACTTTCAACTCCCTCCAAAGATTTTCAATGGGGTTGAGGTCTGGAGACTGGCTAGGCCACTCCAGGACTTTCAAATGCTTCTTACGGAGCCACTCCTTCGTTGCCCGGGCGGTGTGTTTGGGATCATTGTCATGCTGGAAGACCCAGCCACGTTTCATCTTCAAAGCTCTCACTGATGGAAGGAGATTTTGGCTCAAAATCTCACGATACATGGCCCCATTCATTCTTTCCTTAACATGGATCAGTCGTCCTGTCCCCTCAGCAGAAGAACAGCCCCAAAAGCATGACGTTTCCACCCCCATGCTTCACAGTAGGTATGGTGTTCTTGGGATGCAACTCAGTATTCTTCTTCTTCCAAACAAGACAAGTTGAGTTTATACCATACAGTTCTACTTTGGTTTCATCTGACCACATGACATTCTCCCAATCCTCTGCTGTATCATCCATGTGCTCTCTGGCAAACTTCAGACGGGCCTGGACATGCACTGGCTTCAGCAGGGGGACACGTCTGGCACTGCAGGATTTGATTCCCTGTCGTCGTAGTGTGTTACTGATGGTAACCTTTGTTACTTTGGTCCCAGCTCTCTGCAGGTCATTCACCAGGTCCCCCCGTGTGGTTCTGGGATATTTGTTCACCGTTCTAATGATCATTTTGACCCCACGGGATGAGATCTTGTGATCGAGGGAGATTATCATTGGTCTTGTATGTCTTCCATTTTCTGATAATTGCTCCCACAGTTGATTTGTTCACACCAAGCTGCTTGCCTATCCCAGTCTGGTGCAGGTCTACAATTATTTTCCTGGTGTCCTTCGACAGCTCTTTGGTCTTGGCCATAGTGGAGTTTGGAGTCTGACTGTTTGAGGCTGTGGACAGGTGTCTTTTATACAAGTAAGGTAACGAGTGGATGACAGAAGAGCTTCTTAAAGAAGAAGTTACAGGTCTGTGAGAGCCAGAGATCTTCCTTGTTTGAAGTGACCAAATACTTATTTTCCACCATAATTTACAAATAAGTTCTTTAAAAATCCTACAATGTGAATTCCTGGATTTTTTTTTCACATTCTGTCTCTCACAGTTGAAGTGCACCTATGATAAAAATTACAGACCTCTGTCATTATTTTAAGTGGGAGAACTTGCACAATCGGTGGCTGACTAAATACTTTTTTGCCCCACTGTATATGGATATAATTTCTCCACCATAAAGCGTATAACTGTAACTTCAACACTTTCAATTGTAAGGTTGCAGCAAGTAACTAGAAGACTCAAGGCACAAACAGTGATTGTGGATGATTGTAATATTTTACACATGACAAACAATTATAATCAATGGTATATGATCAACAAATTTAACAGTTCATCATAGGAATGTGCCAAGAAACTATGTATGTACATTATTAACAATTGTACAGCAGTCTTTGGTCTTTTAGTCAAATAATCGCTCAATTACAATTTAAGAATTTGTACAGACAACAGAGAAAATTGGAAGATAAGGAACAAAGTAGCTCATGTTTTGATGTTTATTTTTAAGACTGAAAAAAAAGTTTAATTCACAGTTTTAGCTACAGCCCATAACTGTCAAAAAACACAGACACATGCAGGTAAGCTATATGACATAGTCAGACCTGTCTATCAGATCTTTCTTCGAAGTGACCAAAATTCTAAGTATGATTTCAAGTGATCATGCCAAACGGTTTGTATAAAGCGAGTAATAGAGATATTACTTGGGACATAACATGTATATATTTATGTCAACGTGCATTTTGCATGTATAGCCACTGCTAAATAAAGAGATTTGGACTTTCTCAGAGGCACACACTCTGCAGTCTGCAGGTGAAGGAGGTCAGTACAGTTTGTGAGCTGTCAGCCTATGACGACACACGGCTTGTTTATGTTCCTGTATGTGGGAAACGGTCTTTATGTAACACCGGCCTCAGATCACAGGTGTGCACGAGGCTGTTATTCAGACTTATAGCGCAGGGAGAAAGAAGGAGAGATTAGCTGTTCCAAACACAACACACAGAGGCACTTGACCAGCCGGGCAATTCAATCTGGTGAAGTCACTAAAAACATTGAATTCTCCCTGGGGCAAAATGACCACTTCAAATTATACAAAAAAAAGAATAGTATTCCACGTTCACCCAGGCATAAAACTGTGGGGGGAATGCAAAATTCATGCACACCTGGGATCTTCTGAGGTGTTTAAAGCTGGATTACCTTTTTGTTTGTCCCAGCAGAAAAAAGTCTCGCCTATCAAATCAGTCCACAACATGCCGTCTTAATCTTATTTGAACACATGTAAATTACATTACATGCTTATTTTTTGTGGTTTCAAAGTTATGTACCAGAACCCTTGAACACATCTGGCAAAGTGTCTGAAGAATGCAGTCCAATCGTACAATCATACAAGGAGCATACAAGGAGAGGCTTCCAGAGATGAGTGTAGATCGGCCAAGAAAATAATAAACTATACAATGA